GTGGTGTAAAGAGGTTAGGATTTGGAGAAACAACAATGAAATTAATCTGATGCATAGACTTTATAAAGAAGAATCCTCAATCCAGACAAAGATTAGAGAAATTCATGAGTGCTAACCTAAAGACTTCATTTTTTTTAACCTTGTAAGTAATGGGAAACAATAGAGGAGATTGAACACTGTGAACCAGTAACCCACATCTAGCTGGCCTTTTAAAATCTTTAAGCATTGAAGTTAAAAAGGAAATTAAACAACCTAAAACGTGTCAAGGAAGTAAGACTCCAAGAAATCATAAGCAACGATAATCAAAGGCAAAAAAAAAAAAATATGTGACATACAGAAATAAGCTACTTTGGATAGGCAGAATTTTTCTTTTTCTGTAGCCTACTGCAGCCCCAAAATGGGCAGTCAGAGGGAACAAAGGCTTGGGTTCAAAAGTGCTGATTCAATTTCTATCTTCAGAATTCTGTCAAACTGAGCTGGAAATATTTTTATCCAAATCCTCCTAAGATTTCAGGTAGCCTCCAGCTATGCTGAACCACTTTTCACACTGTTTCAAACCTTTCATTTCTTTTGTGACTGAAATATGGGTTTGCCTTATCTTAAAATGCACATGCACACATACTCCAACCTACGAGAAGCCTATGGAAGAGAAAAATTACAGAAATCTTTAATAATATCAAAAAAGATTAGCTTCATATCCTACTGTGGAGGCCTCATTCACTCTTTATCTCACTAGTTTGTTCTTCTATAGAAATGGCCTTAGAAATGGGGATATGTTATAAAGCTTTGTGCTAAAACACATTTTAATTGACTTTCTAAATTTAGGATGGCTTTGCCTTTAACCACCTTTAGACAATTTTGTATGCTCCTTAAATTATTGAAAATCTAATGCTTTTTCAGCAGTTGATACTTTATAGCCAGAAATTCCATCCTGTCTAATTTAAGTAGCCAGATGTGTGATGACTGGTACCAAATTATTTATAATTGCAAGTACAACAAAAGGTTCCCTACTTCTACCAAAATTTTTAGCTGCATCAATCCATATTTCCATGTGAAAAGGGACATTTGCATGATCAAATCTGAGAGCCATATTTTAGTGATTTTACAAATGTTCACCAAGAGTAATTTAAATATGTGCTAAATGCAAAATATTTTTAGATGTTAGCGTCAAAAATACAGTGACTGACTGATGCCAGAAAAAAAGTGTAACTTTGTGAAAATTCAAATTTTATACTTATTTTATTTCACTTCATTACTTTTCAGATGTATTATTTGAGGCTTTATTGAAATCATATACTCTAGAACATTCTACCCACTATAATTTTCTTTTCATTGGAAACATTCTCATCTGTGCCATGGGTTATATGTATTAACCATTTGAAATATAACTCAAATGACTAAATAACTGAATTTTGATTTTTATTGAATTTTAATTAATTTAAGGTTAAATAACCAATGAAGCCAAATAGTTACCATTTGGGACATAACAATCCAGAGTCTGAAATATAGTTTGAAATGTATCAATATATATCAAAGTTTTGGGCAAATAAGTATTTTTTTGTGTGTGGTTTTGTTTTACTTTCAGATTTTGCTTGTTTTGTTTTGCATTATCAATGAATCAGTAAATGTTAAGCCAAAGGAAACCTAGCATCATAATACCTCCATCTAAGTGTGTATGTATGATATAGATGTTGTAGCTACATTTTGTATATTATATTATATATATTATACACACACGTATACTATTTGTTCTTTCAATGCTAGAAGCAATCATTATGCTAAAAATCCATTGTTGCTGAATGAGTAGAGAATATTAGGTGCCTGGATACTTTATAATAGGTGGTTTTCTGGCTCTGTAGAGATCTTTATTAAGTAATTTGAGTAATCTATTAATATTGGAGAAAATATGGTACCTGCTAGTGTATTAATATATACTTGCATACATTATCTTTATCTTAGAGCTTTAGAAATGAACAATTTTCTTTTCTTATTCAAGTTGTTGAAATCCCAACATGTTTTTGGTGCTGGTGGCGATTAAATATATGTCCTTTAAACACCCTAAAGCTGTGTGTCTTTGCAGTGACTTAAAAATATTCCCGAGACCTATTTCATTTAGTAGCCCTACTTAATGTACAGTTTAAGCTGTTTCTGGGATCCATGGCCTCACACAATAGAATAAACAAATGGTAGCTGTCACACAAAATCATTCACCCTCCATCTTTCCAAGACGACAGCTTTTCTGGTGCTCTTACTGCCAAGGTTCATTTCTTGTTTTCTCCCCCTACTTCAATTGATTTTAGATGCTTTTGGTGTTTCTCCTTCTCTAATGTATCACCTATTTTATTCAAATATGGAGGTGGCATATTTTTAAGTGAATCAATAATGAAGCAGTTGAGACCACAAGCCTCATCACCCTCTACATGCTATTAGTGTAGACTCCCAAGGGCCAACTGTGCAGTGAACCATGGTAATGAGGTTGATAGTTCATGAAGGGACTGATGTGACAAATTGCCAACCTGCTGCAGGGACAGCCTCTCTAACCCTCCAGAAAGCCAATGTTATTCCAATTTTCCTCCAGTTTTGCTCTATTCAAAGTGTGCCGGTGCTAACACCACATTAAGTGATTCAAATGGATACACTCACTCCCCTCCCCTTGGAAAAAAGAGCACCTGGTGGCATGTACATTTATAATCCCCCTTTTCAAACTGACATGCTCTCAGGGTAAAATTAATCAACATTTGTCATGCATTTTAAAGTATAAAAGAGTGTTTCATTTTTCATGACTTACTTTGGAAGTATTTGTGAAAACAAGTATCTTCCTATCATGCTATTATGGATCTATAAGAACTTTTAAGCTTTATTTTTCCTTACTTGATAGTTTCATGAACTGACTTTTGAAATATTCTCTCATAGTTAAATTAAACATCTTGCTGGCATCTTTTTACTCATTTTGTTTCTGCCTGAATTTGTAATCTGCATAAGAAAAATAAGACTTAATTTACAAATGCTGAAACATAATATTGTCAGGTGAATTTCTTCAAGATTTTTTAAAAATCCATCTTATTTTTAACTTTCATTTTCATTCCTTCACCTTATCTTTAAAGGTTTCAGGGGGGTAAGGGATTGTTTACTTGTTTTTACAAATATATTATCACTAGGTAGACAATGAGAATGAGTTATCTCTGACTTTTAGGCATAAATCTGGCCCAAATTGTACTCTCTGTACAGCAGATCTTTTATAAGATATGCATAAGCACCTTTAAGAAAGTGTACACTTTGAGAATAGTTCCTAAATCATTTACTTGTTCTGCAGAGAAGCACTAGGCAACATATACTCAATTTTTAATGGTGAAACTAAAGCAATTTTAGAGACTGAGGTGCTAAAATAATTTTGTAAAATTCTTGATATGCTTCAAAAATTCCTGTTTTTCATTAATACCTCCCCATGCTTAATGGCAAATAAAGTTTTAAAAAATTGAACATTTACCTCTTCAGTGCTTAGTTTCAAGTTTCTGTGAATTCATAGATACAGGGTTTCATTTTCCAAGTCTTTAAGGATCCCATTTTCTAATTGTCTCATGTTATCAGTGCCTCTAAGCACTTTGCTGCTTTTCGTGCATTTAGCTATGTAAAACACTGCAGTTATTCTCTTGCTATCTCTTAAGCATATGTTCTGTTTTCTTATCTAAACTCCTTGAGGTTAAGGCATATATATCTACATGGTGCTTTTGTCCAGACATTGGTTGTGAGATTTTCATGATGCCAGTTAATTGTGTCCTATTTGTTACAATTTGTCCTTGTTATTCACTGTGGGCATCCCATCATCTTGCTGTTTATTACCAAAGGGAATCAATTACTTTTCAACCTTTTATTACTCAGTGGTTACAAACTGAAAGCCCACCAACCTGACTTAACTGCTAGACTGGGATTAATTGGTTCACACAGTCCTGTTAAAACATTATTGCTTAAATGCTCCTAGGTAGGGAATGAGCTCTTCAGTCCTACTCAGTCTCTTCACTTAGTCCTCCTTGTGCCTGCACACAGCGAGGCTCCACTGCTCAGCCAGAAAACGTATTTGTGTTTGACACACTTGTGTTCATTCTATTGCTCCACACGGTGTCTTCAATGACTACACACCTACATTGAACATTAATATGAGCCAGGTATTTTTCCAAGAATGGGTAAATAGACTCTTCTCTCAAGAAAGTTTATATTCCAGAGAACTCCATTCTGGTATCTCATAAATTCTCAGTAAACATTTGGGAAAACAAGTTAATAAAGTAGGCCTATTAGTTCCTGTCCTAAAAGCAAATCCCATGATAAGATTAAATATACAGGGACTTTATTAGGGAAATGCTTGTGTGGTGGGAAATAGTCTGAAACGGTGGTTCTAGGTGAAGGATAACTTGGTGCCCACTCGTGAAGAATTTCATCTTTCTTGGGGTTCACTAAAAGGTCTTTGCTTTGCAAAGGGTGTTCAATCAATTTACAAGACACTGTCAATATAATGCAGTGTGTTTCTTAGTGGGGTGTCAGGGTGGTCCAGATATGTGGTTATATCATAACAGAGGGCAAGTTAGCATAACTCTGAGGGAAAAAAAATGAAAAGAATATTTGGTCTACTCATGTGAATACAAAATGTTTCTGATCCTCCTTCCTTTTTTGGATTTTTTTTGAGGGGGGGTCCTGGGAATAGAACCCAGTGGTGCTTAACCACTGAATTACATCCCCAATCTTTTTTTTATTATGTTTTATTTAGAGACAGGGTCTCACTGAGTTGCTTAGGGCCTTACTAACTTGCTGAAGCTGGCTTTGAACTCACGATTCTCCTGCCTTAGCCTCCTGAGCCACTGAGATTATTGGTGTGCAATACCATGCCTGGCCTGATTCCTAATTGGAATGAAATAGAAGGACTCTGTATGTGTATTTCAGGTATTATTAATTCACTCTAGTAATGATACCGTATGTATTACAGTAGGAATGATTGGGGCTGCTACCCTCCTCCAACTGAAGTATCCCTCTGATTTCCACAGGAGCCAGAATTGAACAGATAGAGTGGTGAAATTAGTTTCTCCAGTGGTATGGTATTTATTGGTTTTGATACACTGTGTGGAGGAAGGGCAGAGGGTAAGACAGTTTCAGAAGTTTCCATTTGACTTTCACCAGTGTATTAACTATTATATTAAAGAACAAAGATCCAGCATGATAGTTATTCTTGCTGCTAGTTTTGTATCCAAAACCTACAAAATTGACCACTCAAAATGTCAGGTCAGGTATGCTCACTGGGAATCACACTTTAATAGGAACCCTTTATTGGGACCTATACCTTACCATTCTGACAAGAGGACTATGATGAGGTATTCAGATACCAGCATCAATCAGACTCCATGTCTATCAGTTCTCTAAATGTCTGGTTATTCCCCTTCTCCCTATGTACTATCACCCAAGGAAATAGCCATAGGTCATATTGAGGAAGGACTGGGTGAATCATGATATTATGTACTTGCCATAGTGCTTCAGGGCCCTTCCTGGGTGTTAACACAGGCTGCAGATCAATAGACATGAATAGGGGATTGGGGAAGGAATAATAGGGATCAGCCCATCTTGAGGGATGAAAAATCATTCTACTAGGGTGACAGAATTTCTACCCATAATCCTGAGGTTAGAAAATCCCTCAAGTGGGTTATATATTATTATTCTAGTGTAAGAAGGAAGCTCCTGACTTTCCAACTTCAACACATGCATAGAGCACTGAAGCATTATCATTTGGAGGTCCCCCAATTCATTGTAGTTTTCATTATGGCGTTTCCCTGTAAGTTTTGTATAGATATTAATATAAATTTCCAACATGGTGAAACCAACAGAGGTGCACTAAGCCATGGCACAAACTTGCAGTAACCATGATAAATCCATGATGCATGAGGAGCAAGGTTCCCAGACCAAATATAACCACCACCACCCCCATGTGGAAACCTCAGACCATTTTGGAAGTCAGCTTGCTCTACTCTCCATGGAGCATGCTTCCATTATACTAAATAAACTCTTTATGCTTATTCACTTGATCTCTTAACCAGCATCTTTCCTTCAAAGACCAGAACTGAGGAGTGATATTGCCCAGTAACACAGGTAACCAGCACCCTTTCAAGTAATAGGTTCTGAATATAAATATTGGCTTAAATCTTGAAACAAAGAAAGAGTCATGACTTATTCTTGGGGTAGCATCCTTGGTTTTCAGCTTCCCTGCTCTTGATTTCTTTTTATATTATAGATTTTAAGCAACTTCACATTTATTTGTTGGTTACCCATCTGTCTCACCCTGAGGCCACTACACTCCATTATCCATCTGTATAACTCTGAAGGACAAGTCATTCTGGTTTCTCCTCCTTCCTTTCCCATGATATTATAACTGTGGGTTCTTGGCATCTAGTGATTACACTTTGCCATTTGGCCTTTATTACTTCAAGGCCCTTCATCCCACAGGTATTAATGAGCTCAGTTGTGTGAATGCCTCTGCTACCTCCAATGCCTGACTTGCCAAGAAGAGCCCTCCTGAACTTATTAGTGATATTGATGTTCCTCTTGTCAACACATTTGTTATGGCTTTGGTAACTTGCATACTCTGTGGGTGTTTTCATGGAAAAAATCCTCTAGTGGATATGTTCCAGCCACTACATCTGGCTAGACCTAATAAGTAAGCTTTATCACTTACTTCCTTCAACTTTTGATTTCTTTTCTTATGCTCTCCTTGGGAAACTCAGGTACTAAAGTTTCACTGAGAGGTGTCCACTATTTCTTCCAGATTCTAAAAGACACCCAGAAGTGAATTTAACCCACATTCCCTGGAGTCCTTTCTACCGTGTTAAATCTCTTGTTAGAAAATTGTCCCCACTGTTGACAAAGTGAATTTTTCCCCCAGCATGGTATTCCAGTCCCTAGGTCAATTACCATCAACATCCTGTCTCAGAGTACTTCTGTGGCTCTTGCTGGTATGTGCCTATCATTCTTATAAGTCATTAGTGGTACAGGTTTTTTTTTCCTTCATCAGTACCAACATATCAGGTGGGGTATGCAAGGATTTAATCCTGTCTATCAATATGGCAGCTAGGAAAGAAGGTGATAAACATCTGATGAGAGCATATGTTACCTTAGAGGGAAAGATTTCTGTAGCACCAGCCATCACAGTGGATATATGTACTTTTTGAAGGCAAATGCAGGCTACATCTGTAAGCATGGGAATCAAGAGAGCCAATATAATAAACATCCTTAGGAGCATTTTACTAGCTTCTCCATCTCCAGGATTCCATGTGTTTTTTTTACCCACATGCCAACCTTGGATAACAGAACTGAATTGACTGGAGTTCAATTATCTATACACCTCTGCAGCTTCCACAATTAGCTTTTTAGGCTACCTTTTCCAATTATGTCTTTCCTCTATTACAGGTGATGGGGACATCTTTATAAGCCACAACAGGGGCTTTCTGATTTTAAAACAGTTGTTTACAGCTTGTTTAACAATTCTCATTTCTTTTTATTCTTGCCAATCATCAACACAATTTAGCAATCACAACTCTACTGTCTTGATAGTCATGTGTATTTGTTTGTTATAGCTATAACTGAGTACCACAGACTGGGTAATTTATAAAAGAAAGAGGTTTATTCAATCTATGATTCTGGAAGTCCAGGAGCACTGTGTCAGTGTCTGCTTGGAATATGATGAGACCATCACTGCTGGTTTATGACATGGCAGAGGGCATCTCATGGTGAGCCAAAGAAAGCATGTTTTCCTGGCTTTTGCCTTATAAGCCACTAATTTCATCCTAGAGAGTTCATCTAATCCTAATTTCCTCCCAAAGACCCCCACCTCAAAATACCATTAACATATGATTTTGAGAATAAGTTACCAAGATATGAAATTTGGGAACCCATTCAAACCAAAGGAGCATAGTTTCCTAAGGCCTGCCTGGCTGCCCAGACAGAGCATTCTTCTCTACTTAAACATCTTCAGGACACACCATTTCAGTGTGCTTTCACTATAAAAGAATGCTAAGTCCCAATGAAATAGTCCACTTCTTCCCATAGAATACATAAATTTATAATTTTAGGTTAAAATGGTTTTAAAGCAAATAGACATTACTGAACACATTTCTCTTCTGTTTCCACTGTTTTCACCAGGAATCTATGAGATTTCCTATTAGCCATCATAGTCTCCAATACTAGATGACAGGGTGGGGTTTTTTTTTTTTGTATTTATTAATCTTGTACATAAGAAAATATTCTTATTGTAGTTGTAATTTGCATTTTCCTGACACCTACTCAGAAAATATTTTTATTGTCCATCTGGCTTTTCTCTTCTTGTTTGCATCTTTTGCCCACTCTTCTATTTTATTTGCTTTTTATTTATCAGTTTGTAGAATCTATTTCTATGTGAATATGGAAAATAGTTTGTGTTTTTACTTTGTTTATGTAGCATTCAATATGTAACATTATTTAATATAATGTTTTGTATATAATATGTAAATTATATATAATATATATATATATATATATACACACAGTTTTTTATAGCCTATGTGCATTCAATCTTGCTTCAAAAGTCACATATAAGAAAACTAATCAAGTAGTATCAAATATTTCCTTCTAAATGCTTTTTAAATTTTTTTCTTAGTTGTTTTAATCTAAATTTTTAAATTTCAATGCTTCTGAACTTCATGCTTTTACGCGGTAGAGGTGTTTTCTTCCATCAAGCAAGGCGATTATATCTGGATATTTATTAATATTTTTTTAAATTTTTGGATCTTTCTATTGTACAGATTTTTGATGCACATATCCCTAATGAAATGATTACTATGGGTAAGCTATTTAGTGTATCCATCAGCTCACATATGTGTATATTTGTGTTGTAAGAGCACCTAAAATCTGCTCTCAAAAGATTTTTGGTATGTATTACAATATTATTAACTATAGTCCTCCTGCTGTACATTAGATCTTTAGACTTTATTTATCCTAAATAATTGAAAATTTGTACCCTTTGTCCTACCTCTCTTCCCTACCCCAACCATGGTTTTACTCTCTGTTTCTATGTATTCCACTTTTCTCATATTTTTTTTTCCAAATGTGAGATCATACAATATTTTTCTTTCTGTATCTGGCTTATTTCACTTCACATAATGTTCTGCAAGTGCTTCTTTATAATTGCAAATGGCAGTATATATTTTATAGATGATATATATATACATATATATATGTATAATATACATATATGCATACATCATCCATATCCATATCTACATCTATACCAACATCAAGATTTCTTTATCCATCATCCACTGAGGAACATCTAGGTTGATTTGATGGTTGGATTATTGTGAAGAAAATTGAAGGGAAAATGAGAGTGCAGATGTCTCTCCAAGGTACTGTTTCATTTCCTTTGGGCAAATACCCAGAAGAGGGAATGCTAGGTCATATGATAGTTATACTAAATAATCATCTCATCAACTGTATTCCAACTTAAGTATACCTCATCTGTTGAGGATATTTTTTCAAAAAATCTATTTTTAAATTATAATATTTCTAAAATATTCTTTTACATCTAAAACTAGCTATTTCTTTTCTGACATTTTCTGTTGGTTGTCTACTGGCTTCATAAGGCTTTGTTTATTTAGGAATGGCATTCTCTCTCACTACCTGAAATAATTATTCAAAATCATTTTTCTTTTGCTCAAGTTACTTTGAAGTGTATTTGACAAAGGTAGTTTAAGCCATTTGCCTCCAACCAGTCCACTGGGGCCTGCAATCTATCAGTTCCTTTCTGTACTGCAATTGAAGGGATCAACAGATCCACTAATTGTGTCAACTAGCATCCCCTAAGTACAGAGTCAGTACAGACATGTGTTTCTTTTAGCAGCACCATAACACAAGTTCACATAATGTCTAACTCCAACTTTTTATCCTGTTTTAAGCATATGTTTCAAGCAGTGATCATAACTCTGGCCACGTTAGTGGGACTCAGTGGCCACACATCTTGCACAGAAGCAGAATTCCAGTCACCTTTGTCTGCTTCTGACATAGCCAAAGAGTTCTGCTGTTTCATCTCTATTTCCTACATCAAAAATTGTACTGCTTCCTTTAATAAGAATATATGTATATATATTTATTTATTATACAAAAGGAGTAGTTATTTTGATATTAGTGTTAATGACTTAGGAACAGAAACAAAAGATAATAATTCACAATGATTTTTTTAAAAATATTTGCATTAAATTAACTAGAAAAGCACAGGTATTATAAACTTTTATAGCAGGAAATAAACAAAATTTGCATAACACAGAAATATAACATATTCATAGAAAGTCAATGTCTTAAAATTGTCAAATGTAAATCTATGTACTATAGTATAGACTTTACCAAAAGTGTATATAGAAATCTACATAAATATTTATAAATTACCTATATTTTCCCAGGTGGAAATTTTTTGTTTGAACATTTAAGTTACTTTAATAATCAATAATATTATAAAGATATAGAGAAAATGATTTACAAAATACATATTTTACCATATCTTTATTTTATTCAAACATTAATGTTGGAGCAAAGATTTGCGTTGTTAGACTCCTTAGGAAGGAACTTAGGGAAACTTTTGAACTTGGTAAAGAGCGTGATTAGTATTAGATCAGTGTCCCCAATAAAGAAATAACAAGAATACATAACATATAACCAGATACTATTAGGGGGAAATGACTGTGCTCAAAACTAAGCAAATACCTATGTTTATTAGAAATTGAAGTGAAAATAATTATTTCACTTTATTTTTATTAAATAGGACTTCTACTACAATATTGAGTAATATTAGTCATAAAGGTGCTACTGTCATATTTATAATTTTAATAGAATTAGGTTTAGGAAATTACCATTTAATACATTTGTTCTTAATTTTTGTTTAAAAAAATCTACTATTTTAAGCATTTTTTTCTATATATACTTTATGTAGAACTTTAATTAGAAATAGTTGTTGAATTTTACCATGTCTTCTCAGCATCTATTACTACATCATATCTTTGACATTTTGACATAATGAAATATTTTTATATGCTTAGTGTAGTGAACTATCTACAGTTCTGAGCTTAGTCATTGTGGATTATCTTAGCACAATTCTGTATGTGTGGTACATTATTTTTATGAAGAATATTGGTTATATCTCTCTTAAAGTGTTTTATACAGTATCTATCACACTTTAATATTAAGTTTATCTAGAGATTCTAATACTAAATAAAGCATTTTCCATATTTTTCTGTAACTAGAGTTGTCAAATAGGGAATATTGTTTTACATATTTAAATATAATTTGGTTTTAAGACTTTATTTTTCAGGGTTTTTTTCATGATTGTTATTATCTCCCTGTCTTTTCTTTTTGTTTTAATAATTTTGTTTAATTCTACTAAAAAATGTCTTATTTTATTCCAAGTACGTTCTATAGACTTCTACGAAATAGTCCTTTATGATTTATAATACTTTTTCTGGCAAATACATATTTAACAACTTTTAAATGTATGAGAACAAAAGAAAATCCTCCAACATAAATATCTATGTCTATATATATAAAGATAAAATCACTGACTGCATTATTACCTGAATCTTTTTTTTGTCAACTTGATCTGTCAAATTCTGAAATGTATTATGTTATTAACCAGTGTAAATTAAAACTTTATACAATGTTCTTTTGTATTCTTAGGCATTTATAGATTTGTCTGGTCCATTGTTTGGTGCATAAAGTTTTATGTTTATAGATTATTCTCAGCTTTCACCTTTTACATTAGGTAATAAAAATCTTTGTCCTGTTTAATGATATTGCCCTTGAATTCTATTCTGTCTTATATTAATAGTACTACTTTTGGTTTCATTTTGTTTATGTTTGCCTGGAATATCTTTGCCCATCTTTGCACTGAACTTTGTTTTCCATCAGTTCTAATTCAGTGAAGACCCCAGTAAAAATGTAATGCCTGATCTTCATTTCTCAGCTTATAGAGTCCTCTTAGATGAATTATCATTTTTATTTTCCTAGTTACACTAATTACAAGACAAAAACCTAGCAATATTCATGTCTGTGTTGATTACAAAAAATAAATTTAATGAAAAAACTTTGTGCCTCTTAGTGTTCACCTAGAATAGACAATAGAATCTCTCAGACTTTGGTATATCAGAAAGAAATGGAAAGTCACTTAGTTAAAAAGCTGTCTTCTTTCTCTGAGGAATGAAAATGAAGACTGTGTGTGGAATTTTAAGAATTGTGCAGTTTTCTAGAGATCCTCTATTGTTATTTCCTCATCTACAAACCCAGCCTGGGAACCATATTCTTTCTTCTTGGGCCCACATATTTCTTTTTCTTTTTTTTTATTAACTGATTTTATTTTTTAAATACATGACAGTGGAATGTATTAGGATTCTTACTACACATATAGAGCAAAATTTTTCATATCTCTGTTTGTATATAAAGTATGTTCACAACAATTCATGCTTTCATACATGTACTTGGATAATGATTCCCGTCACATTCACAAATCAAAATTACTCTAAGATATTATTTCACTCCAGTCAGAATGGCAACTATTATGAAGACAAACAACAATACATGTTGGCAAAAATGTGGGGGAAAAGGCATACTCATACATTGCTGGTGGGACTGAAAATTGATGTAGTCAATATGGAAAGCAGTATGGCGATTCCTTGGAAAACTGGGAATGGAACCACCATTTGACCCAGCTATCCCTCTCCTCGGACTATAACCAAAGGACTTAAAAACAGCATACTACAGGGACACAGCCACATCAATGTTTATAGCAGCAAAATTCATAATAGCTAAACTGTGGAACCAACCTAGATGTCCTTTGGTAGATAAATGGAATAAAAAAATGTGGCATATATACACAATGGAATATTACTCAGCAGTAAAAGACAATAAAATCATGGCATTTGCAGATAAATGGATAGCATTGGATAAGATAATGCTAAGTAAAATTATCCAGTCCCAAAAAAACAAATGCCGAATGTTTTCTCTGATATAAGGAGGCTGCCTCATAATGGGATGGGGAGAGGGAACATGGGAGGAATAGAAAAAACTTTATATAGGGCAAAGGGGTGGGAGAAGAAGGGAAAGGGGCAGGGGCCCCACCTATTTCTATAGTCAAGTTCAATCTGAGCTTCCTGATCCCTGGAGAAGCATCCTTCAGTTTAGTACAAAACAGGCCTATTATTTTCAGAGAAACAGATTCATTATTTTTTTTTAAATTTACTTTTGTTTTCTTCCTTGGTTAAAAACTCTCAGTAGAAGCTATTAAGCTTGTGAATTAAATTAGTGCACCTGAAAAAAAATTTCCAGAAATTTTCTAATTTGTCCTTTTTTTTTTTTTTATCAGTGGGGTGGGGAACATGCACAATGCAGATAGCAGACACTCATTCCCTTTTCCTAATATGTCCCTCCTTGTGGAGGGAGCTCATAGTGAAAGGTATGGTCAATCTGTACTCCTTTATTTCTCCCCTGGAGAAAAGGTGAGTCTGACAGAGCATATGGGCATATCAGTCACTTCTAACTTTCACTCTTAGAAGGCAACAGAAATAAGCATATATTTTCTTTCCTCCTTTCTGCTTATTCTAAAGAGATGTCCCTTAATCTAAATGGATAGGCTTATCCCTGTAAGATTCAGCAGTAGAGCATGTAGAAGTAATTTTTACTTCATAGAAATGAAAGGATCTGGTGCATTGAGTTGAAAACATATTTATAAAGAAGTGGAATTTGGGATGATAACACTAAAATTCTAGTTGAAACTTACTGTTTTGCAATAGTTAGGTAGTTATACATGGAGGGTATTTTAAGTTGACCACTAACTCTATACCTAAGAAGATTTTAAGTGCTAGCTCTCCTCATGACATTTTTATAGAAAGTGCCCTGGCTTGTGCTACTGTCCTTTGGTACTAACTGATATGTCCTAGAAATACTCCTTTAAGCCTGAAGTGTTCTGGTATTTTTTTCAATAGTAAAATATGGCTTGGTTCACCAATATGACTGTGAGTTAGTCAGTGTTCCATTACTGTACAATTAACTCACTTTCTGCTGGTTGGAATGTGTTAGCTAGCCTTATACAAACGTACCTTTTCAAATTTTAGGAGGTCTTCAGGTTCACAACAAGAAGAATTCAGCCATCATAGGCTTCACTGGCCTTATAAAAGAAAAAAAAAATCACAATCAGTCAAAGTTCAACCTTTAGATAATGCAGGTTATATAAAGGAGGTTTCCACAGATCTCTTTCAATTTATGTCAATCCAACATTGCTAGGCTAGTATGGGGCAAGGATTGAATTAAGGAAAGGAAGTCTTTGCTTTTCTTATCATCCAAAAAATCAGGAGACAAAACACAAGTCTTCTGGCTTTCCTGAAATTTTTGGCCTGGAGTTCAACTTAGTCTTGAGGCTAGAAACTAAGATGTTCTTTTTCTAGAAATAACTAATCTGAACACATATAGCCTACCTTCATTTATGCTGTTATTTTTCATGTTGCCTAAATTGTATTCAATTAGAAAGAGAAACCTGAAATAGGGCCAAGTCCTTGAGCTTGGGTGAATTTTATAAGCTCTTGAAGTTTCCTTTCCCTATGTGTTCCCAGCTACTAGGCTCAGTATGTGAGTTAGTCAGTGTTCCATTACTGTACCATTAACTGAGATAATCAACCTAAAAAGAGGACATTTTCAATGTTTCAGTTCATGAAGAGTTGGCTGTTAGGGTCTGTAAACAAGTCAAGATGGCGCCTGGCATTTTGCCAGAGGGAGTGGTTTGTGAAGTAACGCCAGCGAGCCATTAAGTGTGGAGATTCCTTATTGGTTGACTGCTGTATCTAGTTTATGTTAATTAAGATAAGCTGTGTGGAATGTATATATACCCCTCCTGTCCTACAATAAACGGTTCCCACTCCTGCTGTATCAATCTACACAAGTCACCCCCGTTATTTTGCTGCCGCCGGACTGCGGCAGTTGGCTCATTGCTTTTTGGACCTGTGATGGATGAGACAGTGTATCATAGTGCAAACATGTGTTAGAGGAAACTGTTTCACCTTATGGCAGCCAGGAAGGAAAAAAACACACACACACAAAGAGGAAGAGTCCCAATATCCCCCTCAAAGGAAAATTCCCAATAACCTAACTTTCTTCCACTAGGCCCCAACTACTAAGGGTTCCACTACCTACCAATAGTGCTACATGCAGGCGGGGGAACAAGCCTTCAGCTTTCAACACATGGCCTTTGGAAGACATTCAAGATCCAAACTGTATCAATAGACTTAAATTATATATGCTCTAACTATAAATTTTCATTGATTCACCCATAAGAACAGAGAAGATTTTATAAATCAACACCAAGTAAAGGGAGCCCACATCAGAAACAGAATATGCCTTCTATTCTGCTTAGAGAAGAAAACCAACTCAGTTAAATTATTGCAGACACAAAGACTAAAATGGCAACTCAAACAGCCTATTCTTAAAACACTGTCTGAAAAGTCAAGTTTGCATATAATTTTTTTTAAGTGGAAGTTATTTTAAAAGATGGAAAAGTACAAATCAGCTTTACTTTCATACTAAGAGTGGTAGAAGGATGAAACCAAATAAAGAAGATAGTGTTATTGAGCTCATGATAAGAGGGAGATTTCCTTAGAAGAAAAGTTTGCATATTAGGAAAAATATAAATACACACACACACACACACACACACACCAGGAAAAGAAAAAAGCATGCCTTAAAGACCAGGATAGACAAATAAAAAGAGAACAAAATTTACTTATTCTACCTTCTCTTAAAATAAGATATCCCTGGATGAGAGGAATTTAGTTGCTATCTAATACGTAAAAAATATATGAAATCAGAAAAATTTAACAGAAGAGAAGCCAAATCTGAAATAATCTCCAAGAGTGTGCCAGGATCTTGGAAATTTAACAGTTGATAATAACAAGATAAGATCTTTTTTGTGAGACCCAGACAAAATTAGAGTCAGGAACTTATGAAATAATAGGGCTCACGCCGACCTGCCTGAGTACTTTCTCACAATTTTAAAAACACAAAAGATTTCTTCTCATTCTACAAGCATCCCATGTTTTGTATGCCTCCCACAGTATGCCACAGAACTGTGTAACAAAGTTTATCTTTCACATTCTAGAAGCCTGCAATAAGTCAGACAAGATGCTCTTGATCAAACACTTGCCCAGCAATGGCACCTCCACCTATTAGCTGAGGCCAGCTCTGGCCTGGGATCTCCAAGACCAATGAATTTTGTATCAAAGTAGCTTATGAAAATCCCTCACGTTTTGCCTTTAAAATATTCCCCTTGACTGGACCCTCTTTCCCATTATAACTCTGCTACTACCAAATAAATACCACTATTCTTCAGAAAATATATTTCTGATTGTTACTTAGGCTGACAGAAGGTACTCATGGGAAGTTTCTTAGAGATATGGAAAGAGAATTTAAAGCAATAGCAATTGAGGAACCACCATCAGTTCTTCAATTAGAATGACTGTACAAAGAGGTTTCAGGAAATCTCGGAAGTTTGAATGGGAAGACCAAGAAGATCAATGGAAAATAAAAAGAAGACAACAATAAAAAATTATTTGTTTCAAAGTGATACAATCATATTAAAATAAAGAAATATGTATTATATTTTGTAAATTTTTAGAATTGAGGCTTTAAAGCAGGACATAGGAAAGATGGAACAGGCCTGGGGAGAAGGTAGGACAACTGACCATTAATTACATCCAGGCCTGTGTGAATGATTCTAATGGCAGAATGTTTCCTGTGAGAAATTATTCAATTAAAAAAAAAGAAAGAAAGAAAGAAAAGGAGCAAAAGATTTGATTACACTGTAGATGATTTATCAGACCCCCAACTTCTTGATATCCCTTTTCTCACCAAAATATAATGTGCAATAAAATTTAGAGGGCTAAATTAGAAAATCACACATCTAGGCCATAAAAGAAAAAAAAAACATAAAATGCCAGGGCTATGGTTTGATTATAGTCACTCCAAATTTTAGGTGTTACCAATGTGACTGTATTAACAAGTGGAACCTTATGAGAGGTGACAGGGACTCCATCATGAATGGGGCTAGGTACCCTTATAAAAGTGTTTGATGGAAAGAGTTTATCTCAGTGCCCTTTTTCCAGCAAGAAGGCCTTCACCACATGTCGGCAACTTTATCATGGACTTCCCAACTTTCAGAATGGTGAGAAATAACTGTCTGATCTTTATGCATTACCCAGTTTCAAGTATTCTGTCATAGCAGCAAAAATTGACTAGCAAACTATACTGGCCTACATGCAATATATTAGAGGGAAAATGTGGTTATAGAGACAGAAACAGAAGAGAGAGAGAAATTTAAGAAGTAGTTTAACTTATTAGAAACTACTAAGTCTTCGTGAATGCTGTATATATATAATAAAGCTTAATGAAACATTTTACCCCACCATTTTAGGCAAAGAAATAGAAAGAAATGCTAACCAATATCGAATATGTTCAAACTTAGGGAAAGCTAGTGTCTTGAGGAAGAAACTCTAAAGATGTAGGTCTTTGCTAGTTTCTAAGAGTCACAGCATCCTCAGCTGGAGAAACATAGACAGGGTTATTCTCTAGCTGCTGTAGATATCATAATAAACAAGAATACTGCCTTTAGAAGCAGATTGTATATGAGGGTCTCAGTCCTGATAGCACAATAGACTCACATGGGAAATTTATATTAAAATCAATACACTCACAAACTAACCAGAGATTACATTTAATGTATGTGGGATTGGGCCCACTCATCAGTGTATTATAGGGTTTCCAAGGTGATTTGAATGTGCAGACATAGTTGAGAGCTACTGTATTATAGACCTACACAAGTGATTCTCAATCTGTAGGTACAATAGAATCCCAAAGAAAGCATTTCAAACGTCTCCAAGCCTGGAACCAAAGCCAGAGGTGGGGTCTGGGAACCATTATTTTACACAGCTTCCATAGTGGTTGTAAATCACAGCCAGGCTTGAGAAACAAGAGCTTGAGCAATCCACAAGAGGCCATGGCACCTTGGACTGTTTGTAGTCCAAAAAATGTCTGCTCACAAGAGATTTACCTACCCAAGCTCCAGTCAATGCTAAGATGCCAGGAACACAGGGCCCAAATGTGAAATGGAAATACAAAGATTTTTAACATGCAAGAAAAACATTGCAATTAAGAATTAGATGACTGCAGATGCAAACACTGGATAGTTCTCACCATTAAAAAAATTCTGCAATATCCTAAATAGCATTTTCTGGGAGACAAGACAATTTATATTAGACATTCCCCTGAATATTATAAATCTGTGATGATACAGAAGCTGTTACAAATGGTGTATTTCTGCTCATTATCTGATTGTTTGTTGCCAGTATATAGTTATACAATTAAGTTTTATATAATGGCCTTGAATTCAGTGAGAATTATAAAAACATTCATTAATTTCATTGATTTATTTTATATTAAAATTATGATTTGTGAAAATAACTATTCATTTTCTGTTCATATATTTATTTTGCCTTATACTGAATGGGACATCTAGCAAACAATATTGATAAGAAGTGGTGATAATGGACCTGTGCAAACAAGTTTTTACTTCAAAGTTAAAATTACTTTGCTTTTAACTGTGATGTGTACTATATGGTTTTCCATTTTTATATTTGGAGGGAGTATAGTTTGTCAGACTACATGTATCAGTTTATTTTGCTAAATAGGTTGTCATAAATTTAGTAGCTCAGAACACCTCTATTTATTAGCTTTCAAATCTGTAGATCTGAAGACCAAAGGGCTTCTGTTGGGTTCACTGGGTAGAGTCTTGCAGGTAAATATAGAGATGCCAGCCAGGCTTTGCTCTTATCTGGAGACTCTGGAGAACAATCCACATCTAGGTTCTGTCAGGTTGTAAGCAAAATTCAATTCAGAGTGATCTAAGAGCTCATGTTCCATTTCCTTGCTCAGTGTCAGCATGTTTCCTAGAAATGGTTCTTTCAGTCTCCCTGACTTCCCCCTTTCTGTTAGCAAGAATATAAAACTATTTTTAAAAAGATTCTGGTCATGAGATCAGGGTATGTCCCACCTTTTCTCCATGCAATGCAGCATAAACACATGAGTAATGACTCCTCAAATTCACAGGTTCCACCACATCTAAAG